CCTGCCCGACGCGCAAGATGGCGGCGCCAGCGGCCGAGTCCTGAAGGCAGCGGGAGAAGCGACCACGCCCCCCGGCCCCGTGCTTCCATTGGTCCGCAGGTCTCGCCGCGCCGGTAGACCACTGGCCCGTCGCGCCGCCGCTCAGGGGAAGGCCCACCCTTCCGCGCGGATTGGTTCGTCCGCGCCAGGCCTCGCCTCCTGCCTCCTGTGATTGGTTGAGGGGATTGAAGTGGCCGCCTCCTCCCGGCGAGTAGAGGGTGATGGGGCTCCTCGTGAAATTCCGCCTACGTTCTGTTATCATTGGTGGAGCTCCTGGGCTGGGCGGGGATGGAAATGGATCCCGCCTCCCTCTGTTTGTGATTGGGTGGAAGCGGCCACAGCGCCACCTCGGATCCCCTGCGATTGGTGAAGCATGCTGAGGGCTCCTCCCCCGGACGGAAAGCGGGTCTACGTTGGGACTGCAGCAGATAGTCCCGCCTTCACTGCTACATGATTGGTGAAGTCAGCAGCCGCTCGCAGGTGATTGGTAGAGCTTTCCCATGGCCTCTACAGATCGCAATTGATTGGCGGGCACAACGCAGAGCTCGCTGGCACGTGAGGTGCTGCGGTGACTTCATGATCTAACGCCGCAGCCTGCGGGAGGTAGTCATCAGCGTTCTTTTATAACGTCATCAGAACCAGACCACCTGTTGGTGGAGAAAGACGATGAGCCTCCCCGGTAGCAGCGATGTGCTTCGTCAGTGACGCCATCAATCAGCGGTCTGGTTTAGTTACCGAGTGACGTCATTGCACTAAGATACCGAACTATTATGTCCCGTCGGGTCTTGCAGACACCGCACTCCTGGTCGTCCAGCCCCCGGTATCATCCATGTGTGTCAGTGTGTCACAGTGGGATCCGAGGGTCGGGCAGGGAGAAGTAGCTGGGAGACACGGAAGGGATTCCAGGCAGAAAGAGGTGGGCTGGGAGGGAAGAGCCTGCTGAGTTGGTGTCGTGCGTCTGCCCTGGTTCAGCCTCCAGCTCCCGGAGGGGACACTCTCCGCACGTCCCCAGGCCCAGGGAAGGGAGAGAAACCCCAGGCTGCAGGCCCAGCAGGGGCTGGGAATTAACCTGGGAGTCCCCTGACTTGGGGTCTGTGCAAGGCTACGGCTCGGTCCTGGGGTACTTGGGAGGGTCCAGGAAACGAGCTGGGACGCGAGTATGGAAGGTGGGGAAGGTTGTAGAGGGCTGGGGTGGGAAGTACGAGGTACAGTCGGAGGGAGTACCATTTAAAAGGACAGAAGGAAGAAACGTGGTACAGTCCAGGTGTACCGAGTAGACCGGGTCCAGGGGACGGGGAGAGAAAATATGGCACAGTCCAGGGGTACCAAATACACAGTACAATCCAGGGGGCAGGAAAGTGGGAAGATGAAAATCCAGGTGCGGGGAGAGCCGATGAGGATGGAGATGGTACAGTCTAGGGGAAACAAAAAAATACGTGGTGCAGGCCGGAAGAGGTTATACAGGGAAGAAAGATAGTACGGTCCTGGGGGATGTCACTAAGACCCTGGAGGGGATGTGGTACAGTCCGGGTGGGTAGATGGAAAACACGGAACAGTCCAGGGAGGGACATAAATAAAAAAGTACCTACATGATACAGTTCCATAGGACTGAGTAACAAAGGCAGCATTTAGATGCCCCTTTAAAGACCCCATTTTAAAGTCGGCAGTATTTAACTCCACCCCCACCGCCAGTTCTTTATTTAGTCCCACTATGGCCCACCTGCACGTAAGCAAACTATCTAGAAGTGCCCCGCCTCTTCCGGCTCCGGCCAGGAGCCCGGGGTTGTCATGGCGGCGCTGAGGCGCGGCGGGCAGACGTTACGTCTGGGTGGC